ATTGAAATATTTAATATTATATAATAATAATTTTAAACTCAAAACCGTTTTTTTTCTAAGTAGGCAATTACTCTTGTAACCTATCGCTGGCTTTTATTATATTAATACATTGTCTGCATATTTTTTTTAGACAAAGGAAGATAATCTGTTCAATAAGCTTGGATATAGGAATATTATTTACTTTATTATTAAAATTGATTTAAAATTTAAATTCATTACAATCAATTTAAATTATACATGAGATCTTCATAACAAAAACAAACATATTATAAAGAAAACAATTTACAGTTCATGGTTTGATAATATAATAAATAATTAATTTTGTATATAGTTTTCAAACACAATAGGTACAAGGTACTTGTATACAATATTTATGTCACACAATAGTTTACAAAAATAATATTGTATAATATAGTTTACTGTTGAACTGAAATAGTTATATAATATTATTATACTTTTCAGGTAAAAATATGTACCAAAACCATTTTTTATTGAAGAAGAAGCAGTTGTTTATTAATTGTTTAAATGGTTTAAAATATTTAAAGTATCTATAAAGCTATTTTATAATTGTTAAGATATTGAAATAAATTGAGTATTTATTTTTATTTTTATTTATTAGAGTTTAATTGAGAATTAATTTTTATTTTGTAAAATGAATAACATATACATTCTATATTGGTGATTTGTTTTCAGAATGAAGGTCTATAATGGAATTTGATTTCTTTTTGCACTTAATATGAGATACAAGACCAATAAATAATTTTTGTAAAATTCTATTGCTTTTTTAATTTATGAAATACACATTAACTTTAGAGGACGCTACAGTACACCTGCATGTTTTGTTTCCATCTTACAAATGTACAACATAGCAATAACTATTTTACGAGGAAAAAACCAAGAATACTACAGTCTTAGCAAAGAAACTAAATTTTCACCACATAAAAAGGAGAACTTTGACTGTGGAATATTATTTTTGTTTATTCGATATAGGAACTTAAAAAAGAGTTGTTCAAAATTGAAAAAAACTCAACAAAATAATGGATTTTGAAACAATAAGAATTTTTTTTTGTATACCTAGGTGATATCAAAAAAATAAAAATGATATTGCACAGATTATGTTCTTAATTACATTGTATATCCAGTGCTTGACTTGGAAGGGGGGTGGGTAATCAGGGGGACATGGTACCCCAACTAATTTTTCAGAACTTTTAGTGTACCCCAATTACTATTTTTAAGGGGAACGCACAGGACGCTTCATCATTTTGCATTTTTATCAAAATGAGCTAGATACCATCATAATTTGTCTTATTGATTATTTCATAACTGCGGATCTATAAATTATTTAATATTTACTAATTATTTGTAAATTATTAATTAATTTACTTTTGTTAACCTTTTAAGTTTATTATTATTTATAACTATAATATATATAACAGTAATAACCTATATCATATATTAAGGATGTTGGAGCACACCGTATTTTTTTGTAGTTTTAGACCAATAAGTGGAAGATTGGTTTATGTACTTCCCGATGTCCAATTATTATTTAAAAAATATGTATGAACACATCATCTCCTTTTCTAGGTTATGTAGGAAACAGATATTTGATTTTTGTATTCAATAAGGCTTAAAAAATATGTTAAAATTTAAAAAAAATATGAAAACATTTTTATTTTATACACTTACATTCAGTTTTAAATCATCAATTACTTTTCCTACATAACCTAGTAAAAGGGATGATGAGCTCATACATATTTTTAAAATAATAATCGGATATCGGGAGGTACATAAACTAATCTTCCGCTTATAGCTATTTTGTATCGATTTTAACGGTTTTTTGACCATAATACGATAATGGCCCAGATAATGGATTACACACACTAAGGTCCATTTACTACTCACACAATGACTAATATTTGCCAATAATATTTTGCACAATTTCCTAAATCTACTTAAAATATTCTATGCTCCAACAGCCTTAACTTGTATTTTTTTTTACCGATTATTGATAAATATTTTTTATATGATTTAAAAAGGGTTATTAGTGGGTGTAGGGGCAATGCTCCTGAGGCCCAATAATGTTTAACAAGTGATGGAGATGCCCTTTTTTAAAAGTAAATGGAGTTCCTCTACTTTAATTTTGCCAAATTGAGTACTATGTATATCAATTTGGAGTCTTAATTAACATTACAGCCTGAATGGTTCTACCCCGCGCAAAACAGTTATTGCAATGCTGTACATTTGTAAGACGGATAAAACACAGGTGTAGTGTCCTTAATATATAGTAATAATAATTTTAATAAGATATTTATTTTTTATGGATAATTGAAATAAACTAGTATGTTATAAAGGTTTTAGTACATCATACCTAATTATAATTTATTTATTGTTTGTTAAACTTAAGTTAATATTTAAAATTTACAAATCAGATTCATTGATATTTAGGTAATAATAATATTAGTAAAAGTATTAGTTGATTATGAGTATAGAAAATATAGAATTTCTAAATATTTGTACTTCATATTTAAAACAATTAACGGAAAAATGCATGTAGACATAAGTTATATTAAGTAATGTCATCCAACTATCATAATTTTTACTCTAGGTATATTAGAAAACATACTCAGAAAGAATAATAAGCTGTTATATTTAAACAAATAGAAATCACTAACCATTGCAGAAAAATCCTGGACTTTGATTTAATTATGCGAGAATATAATAATATGTATTGGTATTTAATATTTTACAAGTTGTATCGTAAATAGAAAATACTCTAATTCTTTAAAGTAAAATTAGGATGTATATCTAAAAAAAATGTATTATTGTATAATATATATTTAATTTAAAATCTGAATATGAGAAATGCTGTACATAATATATAATATGTAATCAACAACTTAAGCTTATGAACGATTTATGCTATTAATAATATGATACCCGTGAGCCAAGGTACAATCTTTTTATTTTTAAAAATATGGATAATTTAATAACGCAGTTGACAATATTTTTGATAAATTTAAACTACACCATACTTTTATAATTATTTTTACTTGTAACACCGTTTTTATTTTCATTAAAATATACTGATTAATGATCAGAAATATGCATACATATAATATAGCAGCTATCGATTATGTATAACTCATCAATACTAAATTAACACATTATTCAAAATATGTGTTTTCCATCTAAATAAGATAGCTAAATAAATTAGGTTCAATGAAATGTAACATCACAGACTATCTATTAAATTATAGGTATAATTATAAATTAATTATTTTAACTGAATATTTACATATAAAAAATAATGGAAGACAGTAGGTATATAATACAATTATAAAAGGGTCCATCATTTTTCAAAAGATAAATAATTGGTCGATATAAATTTAACTTTAAAATGAATAACTAGTATTATATTATTATGATAATATATTGCATAATATATATTATACACTTTAGACATTTTTTCCTACATTGCTGTTTTTCTTACAATATAAACAAAAATAAAATACATTGTATAACTTATAAATACTAAAAAAATATTGAAATACATGCCTAAAGGCTATAAGTTATACCTTACATGTACTGAATAAAAACCTAAATGAGTTCCAAAGTAAACAATTTTTTTTTTACATATTACAATAACTAATTTCTTAGGTATTTTAACACATAATAATATAATATTGTAATTTGTAAACAAGTAATTTTAATATTGAATTAAAGTTGACATTATTTGATTTTAACTTATTTCATAATGTTTTGAACTATAATATACCTAGATGCATGTAGGTAGACGGACAAAATAATATCTCTTTACTGTATGTAAGGCTCTGTTTGGGCTATTAAATTATTATTTTTTTCTTTTTTTAATTAGTAGACACTTATAAATTATAGAATATTATGAGACTCAATACCTTTAATGGTAATCCATTTTAATAGTCTGAGATTACTGTAGTAATATAATTAAATAACAAAAATTTTTGATTATATTATAATATAGGGTAGAGTTCTATGAACAGATTTACTAAATTAAAAAGTGATGGAATATGCATCGCCTTACTACTTTAAACTAGTGACCTCTTGTGGGATGTTCATAATTAATACATAATATAAATACAATAATTTGAATGTTTGAATTAAAAATAATATTGTAAATATAAATATATAAATTTTATTTTAATTCATAATAGTAAATATTGATATTTTTTATTTAAAATATAAAAACAGTATAATTTTAATGTATATATAAAAGCTTATGTTTTTATTTTAATTTAAATAGGTATTATGGTTAGTTTTTATAAGTAATCATAATACATTATTCAAATGAATTTGTTTAATTATGAAATGATCACTTTTTACAGGTATAAACAAAATTATATTGTATACAGTATATTTTCCCCCTAAGTATATTCTTTAAAATAATATCGTAATAAACAATAAAATATTACAACTCTTGATAACTATATTCAATATTTGGATTATGATATTTGATTCAGTTAATAATTTAATAAATATGCTAATTATTTAGAATATTTTTGAATATTTTGATCAGGATGTAAAATAATATGTTTAAATTAATTTAGTATATTATCACATTTATACTTCATAATGATAGATCATAACAACGTAAGTTCTTTAAAGCCATAAATGTTCTAAAGGCAAGACATAAATATATTTTATTTATATTTTACTGGTGTTGACATTATAAATCAAAAAAATAAAAATAATTTAAATGAAATACATATATTAGACATAAACAATATGATTATGATCAGGTGGTAATCAGTGTTTTAATATACCAAAACTTATTAAAAGGTAGAGCCATAATTATAAACTAAAATATGGTTTTATATTGTTATTGATTTTTGTAAATGTGAAATAAAAACTTTGAGCTTTGTGTATTCACATAATATAATAATGTGTATGTGGTAACAAAAATTGAAAAGAAAAAAATAATAATTATAGCTTAAAATTGAAAACACTTACAGCAACAATGGAATTTAACAACATTTTCTTTTCGCTCCTTTCGAGTGACCTTTTCTTAAATTCACTACATCATTGTTCTGATGTGCCTGACGTTCCTTGGTTTCCTTTTTGTTCCGCAATACTTGTTTAGTAATCGACATGAACATCTATAACATATATAGAGAAGTTGTATAATATAATATCATTTGATCATTTTGGGATAAATTATAAAATTTTAATTTTAGAATGGCCTAACATACAATAATAGCTATTCATATCAATTAATAATTAAAATAAAAAGATAACTTTAATTGTTAAAGTAACATTTTTTTTATTAACATGTTTCACCTGCCATATCCCTGTTTTACAAACGTTCAACATACCAGATTTTACATTCAAAATAATCTATTTTATTTAGTTAATTTTGAATGGTTTTTTTTAGAGTGAATTAACCCATTATACAATTTAAAGCAAAGATTATGATTCAGGGCATATCGGAGGTTTTTATTGATATTTTAATTTATGAGCAAGTTATGATCATTTTAAATTGTACATAACAATAACAATTATAAAATTCTTGTAACTTACTTCATAATTAAAATATCAATGAAAGCCTCTGAGATGCTTTGGATAATAATCCTAGATCTACATTTTATATTAGATCAATTCATTATCATTTAAAAAATAACAGAGTAAAATAGAATAAATGAACGTAAAATGACGGGTGTGACATTCTCATAACATATTTTCTTTAATGAAAATTATACCTACTAAAACAGTCATAGGCAAAACCACTGAATAACAAACTGATTCACCTAATAGAATTTAAAATTAAAATAAAAAAATTATTTTGTAATAAGAATTTTTTTATCATTGGCCTGTCCTAATTTTTTTTTTTAGTTTCACTTACAAAAACCGTTTGAGTTCAAAGTTTATTTTTTTTATTACTTTTTAATTGTTTATAAACTTATTTTAAAGGTATTCTGATAGATTATTTACTTACAGATTGTACTATTTATTCTATTAAAACATAATTTTAATTTTTGATAATAATATTATAATCAATATTTGCTAAACATGTAATATAATTTATATTATTGCATAAACCTAATATTTAATTTAATTTAAATGACATTTATAATATCGAAAATTCAAAAGTCAAAACCATACCTTCGATAGAAATTTTATATTAAAGGACCAATTAGGTATGTACCTAAATATATCAATTTTGATATCAACTTCATTGGACTTTAATATTAAATTTTAGAAAGGAGAATAGAAATTGGAAAGTAGTTAATACAGGAATAGATGAAAAAGTGATATTTGACTTTTAAGGGGAGACAAGAGAAAGTTACAGAAATATAAAAAATTATGGGAAGAAACCAGATCAATTATTGGCCTTAAAGTTCAATACCTAGTAGATGTTGTCATGCAAAGTGTGGCTAGGTGAAATTTTTTATAATTTTTATACCTTAATCATTTTTTTTTTCACTTGGTTGTTTTTTGCATGCATCACAACATAGTCAACATTATGCACAAAGTGACTTAGCAAAAAAGAAAAAAATTACTTATAATATAAATAAAAAAGTAATAACATTTAAATACTAATATTCAGGAATATTTAAGCTCCTAATGTGATTAACCAGAAGAGTAAATAAATGGGTTTAGTATTTTAAGAAATAATAATTATGCTAAACCTACATTTAACTAATATACTACTAACATAAAATTTTTAATTAATATTTTACTAATTAAATAATTACTACATACGTAAAAATGTTTTAGAGAAGTAAAAAATATATAAAGTTATTTATGTCTATAAACAATAATGTATATTATATAGGTATTTCATATTAAAATATAAATGTGTTCATTAAGTACACATATGTTATATCAGATATTTTAGTATATATTTAATTATTCATGAATAAATTATGATTGTTACCTGTTCAACATTTATGTTGTCTTTGGCGCTTGTTTCATATAATTGGATGCCCATTTGATCAGCAAATCTTTGAGCATCTTCTGTTAACACTACTTTTCGGTCTGGGGCATCGTTTTTGTTTCCAACTGAAAAATTGGTCATGTGAATAAATAAAAAAGCAATTCAATTCATTTAATATTTTAACTGATCAAAAAAATATTTGTTATAATTGGCTCGAACAAAGAATAATTTATACTTGACATTTTTATTTGTGATAATAATAGTAATAGGGTATAATGTTAAGATTAATTCTCAGTTGTAGTTTAGCAAACATCATTATTTTGCTAAAAATGAATATTTAATGCATTATTAAGTACATTATAATGTTTAATAATTAATCTTTACTTAAAAAATACTTCATTACATTTTGTATGACTAATTTTAATTATTTTGTACAAGTAATTGTTATATTCCCATAAATAAGGTAGACTATTATTATTATTTTATAAAAAGAGTTAAAAATATTTCAATGTACAGCGATAAAAATAAATTTTAATAACAGTACCTAATTAAACTAATAGTTAATGTAAACAAGATATTATGATATTTACCTAATATCCTATTGACAACTTCACAATTTTGGTCAATCTCGTGTAACCATCGTTTGACGTTCGCAAATGAATCCCCATTGCTAACATCGTATACAACTATAACACCATGCGTACCTCGGTAATACCTGTAAGTAGAATATTTGGAAAAATGTAACGTTAGCTATATATACACATATTCAAATAAAATTGAACAAATATGCAATGCCTTACGTGGATGTAATTGTTCTAAATCTTTCTTGACCTGCAGTGTCCCAAATCTGTAATTTCACTTTTTCTCCATCAACTATAACTGTTCGGATTTTGAAGTCGACGCCTATGGTCGTTATATAACTACCAGAGAATGTGTTATCGGCAAAACGAACAAGCAATGAACTTTTGCCAACACCTTTAGAGACAACAAATGCATAGTATAAAAATCATTAGTTGAGTTTAACTTAATGGAATGTAACTGCTTAGGAGAGAGCACATTTGGAAACATTACGAGCGCTCACCACTATCTCCGATGATTAACAGCTTAAACAGATGATCATATTCTTTAGCCATTGTGTTTGCGGACGTCCAGGGTAAAACAATTACGGTTCCCAAGTACTGTCTTATTGTGACATCTATGGTAAAATCATCAGGTATTGTACACTGACAGTGTAATTTGGACCGGAACCAGAGCTACTGTAGTCGACTAGTGCGGTGAAATATTCTGTAATGATATTGTTTAACAGCAGACACGAACACTGTACGATGGAACACTTACACGAAATCATGTATAAAAAATGTAAAAAATTTAACAGCACAGGCAAAAAATGAATACGAATTAAAATTTCTCATTACAATCAAAACATGAATCATCCACAAAAAAAAAAAAAAAAAACGGAAAACAAAAACGGTTCGCTGATAATGAAGAAGTTCCAATGTTCCACCACGGTCGCATTTCACGGTAACTCGTCGATTATCATCACGGGACATTCTCTCAGTGATAAGTGATGATAACATTCCCACCATGGCTATTTAAACTTATTACTTATTATAGTTATTATTATTTATTACTCATTTACTCAGTTGCAGACCGCGGTGTGAGGCCTTAGAGAGTGAGGAATACCGAATAAAAATTATTAATTATACTATGATTATTATGATGTGCAGCAGGGGCATAACACATTTATATATCTATGTTCGGGAATTGCTGGGCCGCTTAGAACATACTGGACATCTATCATAGCCCATAGGAGTATATTATAGGACGTCATAGCCTTTAGCCTTGTAACTTGTTACTCGTCAGTTGTTATACTCCGGGAGACGAGACTGTGAGAGATTGGAGAACCTTATATTGCTTATATTATGCTATAATATATATAACTAGCTCTAAGTATAACTCGGGGCCCGTTGGAATCGGTGAGAGTGGGTACCGATTTTGGAGACAATGAATTACAAAAGTCGCAAAGGTTGTAAGACGAAAGTTTAGGATTTGTGATAAGGATTAGTGATATGGATTGGATATAAGGCTAGACGCTTTGGCGGGAATGTTAAAAGTTTGAGTGTCTAGCAATCCGTCACAAACATTGTAAATGGATAGGCTGGATACGATCTCCAGGATCACCTATATAGAGTATACCTGCACATAGAGTGGTATGTGCCGTAGCATGCCCGGTGCTTTATCTTATGTAAAAAGTGTAAAGTCGAAAACCGTGTTGGAGTTTCTAGCAAGTCAGTCATCTCAAGTCAAAATCTATTAACTTTCAAGTTAGCCACTTAGGTAGGCTGGTAGGCAATCCGACTTCGTCGGATCGCGGACAATGTGCTACAGCAAATCAGGTAGGCAATCCACCTGCGGTGGATTGCAGACCCGACGTCAAGCGGCTATAAGTGAAAACCCTATCACACAACTTACGAAATAATTTACGAAAAATTCAAACTATATACAATATACATACAAACAAATATGATATGTATTTATTGTGTGATATAATATAACAATGAACACTTTGAGAAAAGTGCAATTATAATTCCTAAAAAAAATTAACATATATAGGTAGATAGTTAGATACATACCTACTATTATATTAACCAATACAATAAGTACATATAAACACTACCTATAATGTATATATATTAATTTTAAAAAAAAATGCAAAAACCTGCATGTTAAACTGTTAAAGTGTCTGTCAAGTCAATCATCACCGTTTAAGACGAAACTAAAATGAGCAATCCGTCTATCACCTATATATAGTAGGTATATCACATAGAGTGGTATGTGGCTTCGCATGTCCGGTGCCATTCCTTATGTAAAAAGTGTAAAGTCGACAACCGTGTTGGAGTGTCTAGCAAGTCAGTCATCTCAAGTCAAAATCGATTAACTTTCAATTTAGCCACCTAGGTAGGCAATCCGAAATAAAATACAACTATATTTATATAACAATAATCATGGACTTTTTGAAAAAATATGCAATTATAATAATTCCTAACAAAACAAATATAATATGTACCTATTTATTGTATGATATAATATGACAATGACTTTAAATAATAATAATGTACGATATGTTCCTGTATTATTATATTATTATAAAAATATTAAAAATTATATATATTAAAAATAACGTGAAAAAAAAATGCAAAAAAAATCCGGTTCCGGGCGGCCGTGTAGACCTTATGGCAATGCCAGATTCGACGCTCGGGCAGCGTACGACGGGTTTGAACCCGGGACCTACGTGTTTTCTACCTAACGCCTAACCTACTTGGACACAGTTTGAGATGTGAAATATGATCAAAACATCAACACTTAAGCCGTGCGTCTACGGAGCGACGTAAACCGATATATTCGATGTACATCGATGTAATCGCATATAATTCGCTTGTAATACGCGCATCTCCCATATATATATTTAACGGGGCGTGTGAAAAGCGTTTTTCGTTAATAATTATTAAATCATAGGGAAAAATTAAATTATACATGTATATATACGGTCGGTCGGTCGCCGGCGTAATTTATAAACGCGATTGCGAGGCGAACGAACCGATTTCGGGGGAAAAGCCCATATAAACGGCTTTAAAAAGACGTCGACTACACGATTCGGGCACAAACGGCGTGTGAATAGACGAAACGGTGGGAGAAAAGGAAAAAATCGGCAAAAAAGTCCGGTCGGGAGTGTATTTTTCGATCGACATATGCGACCGCTTCGAACGGCGCACAAATATAAACTACACACCGGCGGCTTCGAATTAAGTATAAAAAAGGACGGAAAGGGTCGAAATCGTGTAAAAACAGCTAATTTTCCGAAAATTTCAAAAATCGGCGAAATGATAGGAAAAGAGGTGATAACGAAAAACGTTTTAAAACCGACTGCCGCCGCTGCGAAGGTACACGATTGGTCGCGCTATAAGGAATCGACGGGACATGGCCGGCGGGCTGGGGAAACGGAGCGGTGCTTCATTTTTTACTCCACGGTTTCACTATAACTGCGTTTTCCGTTCCACGGGTTGCTTGTAGACAGCTGATTTCCTTGTCATTTTATATATTAGGATATATTATTATTATATATAGCCTCTATAGTGTTGATATATTGATGATTGTGATATATTTGATAACGTCCGGGTTTTTATTTGAAATATTTAAAAAATGTCCGATGTTATTATTTATTAATTAATAATTTACATTTTACAATAATTGTAAATCATTGTAATTATTTATAATTTCTAGTATTATTTATTAATAAGTTATTGATTGTCAGGTAAGATTGGCCGAGACGTGAGACTAACGTGATATTATTTTTTTACCAGGTTGTTTTGATAGTTTTTGATTTACTTTATAGGTACCTGCAGTATTACTATGTTTCGATTATCACACATATTTATTTTCATTCTTTTCACAATTTTGGCTTATGCTAATCGAATCAATGATGGTTCGCCCCCAGTCGTATTATGGCATGGAATGGGTAAGATAAATAATTTAAATACAATTTCTTTTTTTATGACTTATATAATAATATGTAGGTAGTATGTTATTTTAGGTAGGTACATAATAATTCATTCTATTACATTGTACCATATTTTGTACCTATTTGTTGGGTTTTCCTTATTCGAAAATCTACTAATACAGTAATATGTGCTAATACTTGTATTTAGTTTATACTTTCATAGATATTAGTGAACTTTAAAAGTTATGCAATTTAAATAAGTATTTCCATGGGTTGACCGGGATTCCACGGGTTTCAAATTTCATTTAGGCAAACAAACCAAGCAGTTTTAACCAAAAATTTTTTTTTTTTACTGTTGTTAAATATTGAATTAATTACAAACAGAAGATTGTAGTTCTAAAACAATTATTTTGAGCATATATTATGTGATATTATTTATAATATACTTTAAAAGATTACAATATACTATAGTCACAATTTTACAGTTTTGTGTATAGTATATATTTATTAGTTAGTACATCTGGGTATTGATTTATAATGTTTACAAAGTTCTAATATTATGTTTATTTATTATTTTGTAACAGTAACACATTTTCTTTATAAAGACAAAATAATATTTTCATTTTAGGCGATAGCTGTTGTAATCCATTAAGTCTTGGAAGAATTATTAAGTTATTACAGAAGAACTTGGGAACTGATACTTATGTGAAGTCGTTACAAATTGGAAAATCTTTTGAACAGGTCTTATGTAAATTTATTATTTACAATATGATAGTTTTTTTTTTTTTAAATGTTAATGTTAGAAGAATTAATAACAAATCTGCTAAAATTACCGAAGAGTGTTCTAGGACTACTGAGTTTTCCTCACTATACTCCTCTACAAGTGATTTTTAGAATTAAGATGTAAACATATTACATTTTTAGTTAAACAAAAAACAAAACAATTTATGATCAATTTCCCGTGAATATAATTTTTGATATGATAAATAACAATTTAAATATTTTAGTAGTACGGTCTAAAGGGAAAAGTATGTAAGGTTCCTATTTCTATAAAAAAAAAAAAAATTTTTCAGTCAAAACTTACTAGGTATACCGGCAGTTTTTGTTATTTTTAAGTATATTTTGTTTTAATAAGATCTATTTCGCATTACCTAGAGTCACCTCCAGGAGACAGCTCTCACTGACTTCCATACATTTTATTTTTATTAAAAAAATAAATTTTTCAATAAGAGCAAGTCGGACCCACAGGTGTTTTTTCTATCTAACTAACAACATATAAAATTTTACAATAAGTAAAACCCATTTTACTTTGTTGTTTTTAATATTAGTGATAACTGATAATTGATTTATTAACAAATTTAAAGGCAAAAATATTATCCACAGCCCCTCATTGGTTTTTTTTTTTTTTTTGATAGTTTAGTTATAACATGTTATGAACAGAAATTATTCAAAATTTAAAACGCATCAGAATTTTTAAAATTATATCTTGTAAGTGGTGACATAATCATACAATTTTTGGTGGAACAAAAATCAATCCTTTTCGGGTTTTGGTGGAAATATATTTTTTTTCTGATGGTCATACATTGGATATTATGTGTGTGTAATTGTAAATACAAAATCAAATCTAAAATCTGCTTTAATCTTATACATTTAAAATGTTATAAAATGTAAAAACTGTATTAACTAATTTTGTTTTCTTAACAATCATTTTTATTTTATATTATCATAAAATATCATGAATTTTTGCTTGGAATTTTCAATTATGGTATATAATTTGTGCAGTAACTAAAATAAATAATTTTTTTTAAATAGTTCTGTAAAAAATCTAAATAACCTAAATAAAGGTCGTGATTGATTTATGCGGATATGCTATACTAGTGGCCATGGTTGTCATATTAGAAATTTACATGGAATGCAAAAAATTAACCAATATCCAACCATAATCGGATGTGATCGCAAAGCAGGTACTCTCAGATTTAAAGATTATAAAATATTAATAATTGATCATTTTTTCTTAAATACAAATGAAAACAAGACAAGTAGATATATACATAATGCTATAGATTATTTATTATTTTTAAAATTAAAAATGATTAAGCTATAGAAAATTCAAAAGATAATTTAAGATAATTAATATTAATGTAGGTACTTAAAATGTTAAATTAATGTATCTATTGCAACTGTTGCCGCCAACTGATAATTTAATTAAAATTAAAAAATAACACTCAGCATCTAGAAATTTCATTTATTAATCGGTAACTATAAGTGGGCACCAATTGTAGATAAGATACAACTTAGTATAGCAACATAAGTTTAGTGAATTTATATATTTTATTATAATATTTTGTAGTATATTTATAATAATTAATTTATAGTTAGTACCTTTTAATATGTATAATATTATACCTATTATACTGTATTAATTGTACGTCTTGGGTTGATGTGAGATGATGGTTACATGACTTTAAATTTTGCCATATCAATTCAAATTTAATTTGGCGCCACAGTCCTATGCAAATAATATAAACTTCAATATTTTAGTAATACTTATATATTTTTTTTTACATTTTAATATAATATAGGACGTAAAGAACAGTTTTTTCATGAATGCTAACCTTCAAGTTCAAGATGCTTGCAAACAAATATCTGTAGATCCAAAGTTGTCTAATGGTTATAATGCTATTGGATTTTCACAAGGAGCCCAATTTTTGTAAAATAAAAATATGTGATATATGAAAGCAAATAGTATTATGATTTATGTAATATTTTTTTTCAGGAGAGCGGTTGCACAAAGATGTCCTATTCCTCCAATGTTAAATCTTATATCTATAGGCGGCCAACATCAAGGAGTTTTTGGTATGCCAAGATGTCTTTATTCTAGTCACAAATGGTGCGAATATATAAGATTAATTTTGAACAAAGAAGCTTATGCAAAGTAAACAGAATTAATTCTACGAAACAGCACTTTAAAAATTGTTATTTATAAAAAAAATCATTCTTAATTGTTACTAAATATAGTGAAACCTAACTTTATGGACACCTCTCACCGTGAACAAAATTATACTAGTCCCAGAAAATTGATAGGGATTTTAATGTATTTCGACCTCTATATAATGAATATGGACAGTAATATTTCTCCCTGATACCTTCATAACAGTCAAAAATCTTTAAACTCTAATTTAATTGCATTCATTTGTATAACACTATGCAACAGTGGCATGGATTACGACCGATTATAATATACTCATATTATATCACAGATAACTTTAACGTTATCTGTGGTATTTATAATTACTTTTGTGTCATGTATGTATGTGTATCTATATTTAATATCAGCCTTTTTTTCACAAAAGTACAATATTTTCATTAAATAGAGTTTGACTAAAATAATACTAATAAAGCCTGTTTACAACAGACCCTTTTTTACACAGAATTCATTGTAATTCTATTTCATATTTAATTACCTTAACACTTCTTTCATTTGTACTTCAAAGAAAACACTAGCACCTAAAAATCCTTCAAATTATATTTATAACATTACTCTAACCAATGTCTTATATAATAAATTACTACTAGCATTACTATCAGTGGCGCCTATCTATATTTCATGTTATGGGGAAAAAATGCTGGTGTAAGACCCAACTACTTAATGAAAATGTTTAGCTTCTCTCGAATAAAGCATTATAATCACGATATACTGCCTTTGAATATTAATTACCACTAATGACTTATCACCGTCCCACCCACCTGACCCACCCATAAATAGTTCTGTGGAATTTTCCCCAATTGATACCCGTGTTCAGCGTCACTGATTACTAATAGTAATTGCTGCTTTATATGTGTTGTAAAATATTTAAATAAATTGTATTATCAAATCATTATATTTTGTAATATTTTTTAGATGGGTACAAAATTCATTAGTTCAAGCAGAATATTGGCATGATCCAATTAAAGAATCAGATTATATAAAAGGAAGCCATTTTTTAGCAGACATCAACAATGAACGCGTTATTAATAAAAATTATCGTGAAAATTTGCTTAAATTAAAAAACTTTATCATGGTTATGTTTACAAATGATACAATGGTTATTCCAAAAGAAAGTGAATGGTTTGCATTTTACTCACCAGGTCAAGATAAAGAAATTATGCCACTTGAACAGTCTGTATTTTACCTTACAGTGAGTAATTATATTGAAAATCAAAAATAAATGTTAATCATTGGCAAACCCAGTAGTTGTTGGCAGCTTATGTACCATATCTTAACAATGTTAATTCAGGCTACTATCCTTCATTTAAACATTTTACTATTATAAACCATCATACATTTTAATTACGGAAGGTTAAAGATTATAGAAAAAGCTTTTTTAATTAATTTTCTGGAATTTAATTAAATACTCAAAAGTAAATGATGGTTTGAAGGAATTTTTAATTTTAATTCTTCTATGACAAAAATTATTTGGATACATGATGCAATTTATGAAAATATAAACTCTAGGCTGATCTATATTGGGTACCTGCCTATCCATTAATTGTATATTCAATTTTGCAATGTTATAAACTTATATTTTGTAATTTGTGTATATTTTAGGACCGACTTGGTTTGAAAGTATTAGAAGAAAGTGGACGTTTACATTTCTTGTCAGTTCCTGGTAATCATCTTCAGTTTTCTGAAGAATGGTTTTTGAATGAAATTGTTAACAAATATCTCAAAGAATAGCATACTAATTATTTAAATATTATAAAATTTGGTGTAAATACTAAATAGTAAAAAAATTAAATTTTTTTGTAAATCTATTATAAAAAAAAATCAGAATTTTGTATTGATTTAATTACATTTTGTTATTGTCTATTGATAGCTTGCTATTATTGGTGAGTGCAATTTTTAATGTGATTTTGTAAATGTTTTTTTAATTGAGGGTAACATTATATAATAAAAAAACAAAAATTGTATTTTAAATTCTGAGCAGAGTGATAAAAGTATTGATATTACTATGTGTGTTTTTGTTCTTTATGTCTAATCTGTATACAATAAAATTAGCAGTAAAAATGATTCAATTTTCAGGATGGTTTCTGATGGTAAATTTAATCTAGTTGGTACTTGGTACTTTCAAAATTTATAAAAAGGTGGGTAAGTGGATGTCGCTCTGCTGTACAGTAGGTTACAAGTGGGTCACTGTATAATGGATGGTATTAAATTTGAATTCAAAGATATAATATCATTGTATACAATATACGAAAAACGATTCCGAGCCGTGACGTTTTGTCAGTGTGGATATTTTATATTATGTTTATACCTATTATTAATACGGTAGTTGCTGAGTTGAATTAATATTATAAAATTACAACAAAATAACAAAATCGTTATTCTTGGTTATTTACCTAATATATATAATTTCGTCTAAATTTGAACCTAAAAAACTATAAAAAAAAAAAAAATGTGTTTTATATTTTTTAGATTTTTTGGTTACAGAATAGCCTACTTACGCAGAATCTTGTTTTAAATTTTCAATTTTTAGTTATAAAAGTTGAATATTTTATACATATTTAACTACAAAATAATTTTTAAATTTCATAAATGTTGTCAAAATTCGAACTTAAAATGCTTATAAAAAAATTGGGACTATGTATTTGTAATATTTTTTAACTGCTATTGTAAAAGTATATCATGAGCCTTGTATTTTATGTTGTATTATGTAAATGTTCACGCTTTTTGACTCAGCAAATAAATAAATACATTTTGTTGACATATTTATTTTTATAGAAAAAAAAACTAAATAAATTGGAAACCGAAAATGTCCATAAACAGTTTAAAAAAACAATATTTTTTGAAAATTTTATCGTTTATAGAAATTGCTAATATAAACAACAATTTTTTTAAAGGTATAACTTACAAAAACTAACAAAAACCAAATTCGATTTTGTCGAAAACAGATTTTGCGTAAAAATGTTCGTTTTTCCTTAATTTTTCTTTTCTTTTTCCCTGCGCTTTAGAAAACTAATAGGAATTTTTTACTTTTGACCCAAAGTACCAACTAAATTCACTTTCCTATCAGAAAAGATACTGTTGAAGAAAATCTAAGCATATTTATTGTCTTAAAAGGTGATGACAGACAAAAAAAAACATATTGTAAAATCAATATACATTCATTGCTAAGCTCAGAATCTAAAAACACAGTATTTTTTAACATCTGAAAATAAAGAATAACAGGAATTTTAAGTTAAACCATTTTTTTTTTTTTTTGATAAAACTAATTTTGTCTTTTTTTTGGTGTAATTCAAAAACAAATAACCGTGGATACTTAAAATGTTCATAATGATTGTACATGATAATATTTTCAAAATATTTTGACTGTTTTTGAACTAATTATATATATTTGACATTTTCGATTTTGTTTAGTTTTTTTCTATAAATAAGACTTTTATGAGTCTTTTATATACCTACCAATCTAAAAATATCAAAAATACTTAGTCACAATATTTTTGTATAAGCATTTAGTTGGTTGTTTTTCTATTTTTGTGTGTGCTTTGGTAGAAAAAATCCTACTGCGATGAAGCTAATCGAAAGTCTTCCTCCGTTATTATACCAGAAGAGCCTGTACCTCACAGATTTCTATATATTGTGTAGTATAGAATAGAATATAGTATAGAATAGAATATATTGTGTAGTATAGAAGTCTGTGCTATACCTGCTTCTATTCCCATAGATGAATTGGTGAGTAAAATGTTGTATTTATATTCTCCCTGTTCCCATCCTCGAAACAAATCGATGAGTTGCTTTTCGTGTATGTACGTGATTTTATTTTTGTTGCATCTATGTAATTTGTGTATGCGTGTTTATTTGCTATTAGTTTTGTAAAGAAGCGACATTTTGTTGGTGCCGTCAAGAAACAACCATCCGGATGTGAAAACGGAATGACAAACGGTTGTTCGGTAAGTTATAGGTTCTTTAAACTGTTAAACATTTATAACTATTATCATTATTAATGTTATACACTTACTAAGCTTTACTCTTTAGTATATTTTTGTCACCTTGTTTTAATAATCACTAATCAGTGAGGTCAAGGAATGTTATTTTAAAATACCTTTAAATATTAGATAGTAGTTACTAATATGAGGCAGATGGGTATTATACTTAATAGACTGCATGTTAATATTTTCGTATTTTCTTCGTAAATATTCGTTAATATTTTTACAAGTAAAAATAATACAATCAAATTTTGGTTTTCGAGGAATTAATCACAAATAAGTACGTATGCAAAGTGAGTACTGAAAACTTATAATATTATATGACTCAATGTTGTCCTGCCGTATTCTTATTACTCAGACGGTCAGACCATTAACGGAAAGATCGTTGACATTGTCGAGTATAATATTATGTATAGGCAGGGGCAGACTGGCCCGGTCCGCTGGTCAGCGATCGCGGACTGGCCTGTCGGCCGTAATATATAATTTTGCCCTGCATTATTTATAAAAATAAAATATAAAATCAGACAGAAATTATAATAATAATAATAATATGACGGAATTCTAAACACTGGATAATACACAATGCTTCTGCTGAAAATTAATTCACATTTATTTTTGTTATCGGCTTATTCTATTTTCGTATCGTTCCGATTAAATCACTATACGGGCACAAAATAGTGCCATATTATTATTATACATAATATATTTGATGACGGAAGAACATAATAATATTATATCATGTATATTATACCCATTATCCATTGTTTATTTTAATTTTAAATACAAATATGAAATGTTATTTAAGGGGCCTGGTCGCGATTTTTCAAATTTTCCGCAATTTTATACAATTTGAAAATTAAATTTTATATTTTAGTTGCCACCTCAATTATAAGACTTTTCCACTAATCTACTACCCAATACCTATTTAGGGGGAGGGTTGATAGGGTGTATTATATCGGTCAAAACACAGTTTACAAGAAAAACTCTCACACCTCGTAGATTGGTCCGATTTCCGTAATTTTTTTTTTGTTAGATAGAAGAATATTTTTTACAGGGCGCATTGGACTTTGATTTTTGATTACGTTGCTAAAAATAAATAATAATACAAAAACTAAAAAGTTGTAAAAATGGATTAAATTCAAACTTATAATATAAGATTTCGAAAAATAATTTTGAAAATCCAAGTCCAATGCGCCCTGCAATACGTCTTCCTCTATTTAATAAAAAAAAAAATACGGAAATCGGACCAATCTACAAGGCGTGAGAGTTTTTCCTGTAAGGCATGTTTTTGAGCAAAAAACCAGGTCGCGACCAGGCCCCTTAATTCGAATTAAAAATGAGGCAACAGTTTTGAACGGCGTTTATTTTCCATCCAATAGGCAGAACAACAACATCATTTATGATCTATCAGATAAGAAATATTTCATTTTAATAACTTGTAGACGGTATTATAGTAGTTAGTAGTTGATTTGAATATTATCGTTATAGTTTGGCAATGTCATTGGTTATTTTAAAAGGTATATACGCAGTCTTGTAAAGTACTTGAGTAAAAGTATTTGAGTAAAAATATTCAAATACTTTTTAAGCACTCAATTACGTATTCTAAATACATTTAAAAAAAGTACTTGGGCAAAGTATTTGAATACTTTTTTGAAAGTATCTGTATTTAAAATCAAATAATATTCTAAATACTTTTTTCGTTTTACTTTATTAACAGGGACGTTAAATTTAATAAAATCATACAAATTTGAAATTGTACAACATTTTTATTTATATACTTAATATCCATTTAATATTGAATATTTGAATGTATGTACTATGTAGTCCTTCGATTTCCCAATAAAATTGGAAATACCTTTACTCGAATTAGGTATATAATATAAAACATAACGATAGTCGATAGTTAATATATTATATTATATTTTTTAATATTTAAAAACTAGTTAATGTTATATAAAAAATTAATTCAGTTTGCTAAATATGATTATAGATTATAGATTATAGATTATAGATTCTATTCATCTATATAAGATGTCAAGATGACCGTACTGTGGTCATTAGGCCAAAGTAAAAAATTAAAACACATTAAAAAAAAAAGTATTTGAAAGTATCTGTAAATACTTTTTAAAAGTATTTGTATTTGTACTTAAATACTTTTTTTTCAAATATTATATTCATATACGTATTTTAAATACTTTTGAAAATAAGTATCTGTCTCTGTATTTGAATACTTTTTAAAAGTATCTTTTACAAGACTGGCTATAATATTGTATATTGTGTTCAATTTGAATTCAATGGTATATTATCATTGTATTAAAAATGTGATTTTTAGCGGAATATGATGTGGTTCTTGTAAATCTTGTTTTGATGTCTACATAGCAGATAGTTTGTAGTCTGTTCGTGGGGCGTGGGCTAGGCCGTGGTACAGTAAAACTAAAATCACATTTGTAGCCAGTCTTTTAATATTATCATATTTATGTAAGGTAATAACTAATAAGTAATCAACAATTACTGTGAGTGATAACTAATAAGCAAACATCATAATTGAATTGTAATTCGATAAAAAAATTTACTTTATTATGTTTATTAATTTCCCGTAAAAAATGGCCCGAAGTATTAAAATCGCTGACTGGCCTGTCGCCTACCCAGTCTGTGTATAGGTATTGTATATCTAAAATTATAAATTATTGTAATAGCCAATAGGCAGGGGCGTCCGCAGGGGGGGGGGCTAACGGGCTAAAGCCCCCCCCC